TCCCCTAAATATCAAAATGGAAGGAAATTCATTTACTTTTTATTTGTAATCTCAAACAAAATCAGTTTATCTTTCTTTATGTTATATTAATAGACATTAATATTAGCAATTAATATTAATATGCTTGATTTCAATTTAAGGCAACCTCTTACCCTTAAAAATAGGAAATAAAAATATTCTTTTGAGGCAGGGCATGGTGGCACACGCCTGCAATGCCAGTACTCTGGAGGCTGAGATAAGAGGATGACCCTAAGTTTGAGGCCAGCCTAGGGTACATACTGAGTTCAGGACCCGCCTGAACTACACAGCAAGACCCTGATGCAAAAAATTATTTTTAAAAGTTTTTTGAATTGCAGTTGTGTGACAATCTAAATATATATATTTCAAAAGTTTTCTTCAAGATAGCCTACGGTGGCCTAGTATATCAATAAATAAAGACTTTAAGGAATTACTTTTTAAAAATAACTGCAACATATTTTTTTGAAGTTTGCATTTGAGATTTTAAAATTCTATTTTCCTTATGTTTGCTTATGTTTCCCCATGCAGTCCCCACCAAAGTACAAACAAATTTAAAGGATTTTGGGATTGTTTAGTACATATAAAATCTTCATCAATGCTCTGTAACGTATGATTATGACACCTGAAATGGTCAGTTAACAAATAGCTTTGAGGCTTAATTCAGAGAAAAAGGACCAATTCTAGCAATGTTCATACAGATGCATGCTGGTTTGCCCTAATATTCCTTCTGCCAGGCTTTCCCAGGTTAGAACATTAATGGAAAGTGCATAGCTGTTCTTTTTCACTACCCTTGACAGATGCTAGAGACTCATCATGGGGCTCCATACTCATTACAATTTTTTTGTTTATTTGTTTGTTTAATAGCATAAGCCTACTAACTCTCTTAACTAGAACGGTATCTGCCAGCACAAAAATCAACAAACTCACAGAAGACAAAAGACAGGGTCGGTTTGACTGCTCCTAATAAACTTCAGTGCCTCTAGACCACATACTGTCATAGCATTATTTGTAATGCTTCTTTAAAAGGATGACAGGGTTCAGAAATAAGCTGCACATGGTAAGAAGAGCCTCCCGTGGGTTATCCCTGGGAAATGAGTTGCACAGCTCTGGGAGAGGTGGTGGTTTCCGGCCATTAGTGTCACTAATCAAGGCCAGCTTTGCATTTATGGGAATCAGCACCAATCAGGTTGATACATGCTATGTTCACTCAAGCAGCCCTGCCTGATTTCTTCAAGGTCATGCTGAAACAAAACTTTAGTCCAATTATCTTTGATTGGAATGTTTCATTATTTTTATATATCCTTGAGATACAAAAATCAGTGAAGTAGATGTGTGAGGTCCAAGGGTCACAAAATCATATTTAGTACCTCATGTTCACATAAAGCAATTACTGTCAACTTTCAATTAACCTCCGTACTAGAGGAAACATTAGTGTAGAAAACACAAATCCTACATAATCTACCCATGGCTTTCTTGTAGCCTTGGTTGCAACTGAGTGGGGTCGGGGAGAGGGAGAGAGTGAGAGCGAGAACCCACCCACCAGGAAATGCTCAAGCCAAACAGCTGCTTCAGGAAAATCTGAGCAGAGGCGATAAATTCACCTTGCTTTTCTTTCCCTTTGCCTTTCTCCCTGCACTATGAAGCAACAATGACACTACTTTCCCAGTAACAAATTGACAAATAAAAAGCACGAGGTGTAGGAGCCAGAAAAGGCAGCAGGGAGCCCTCCAAGGCGTCAGGCAGTGGGCCACAGTCAGCGCAGCAGAGCTGGAGAGGCCTCTGAGGACCCCAGGGTTTCCAAGCCCAGGACTGGCACCTTCCAGCTTAGGACGCTGGAGCCAGTACCAACGTTGCCCTGGCTCAAGAAGGGGGTATCTGGATGTTTTGTTCTATAAGATTATGACCATGTCAAGCAACATGGTGAGAGGTGTTTGCTTCCAATGCTATCATGAGTCACTGTCGTACATGATGAGGTTCTTATACTACAGATCACCCCAGTAGAGCTGTATCTGTTGCCCTCTGGGTGCTAATGCTGTACCCATCCTGTGCTGTGCTGAGAGGTCCAGGTTAGATGCCTCTCTTCCGGGCCCAGAGCTAGGGGAGGAGAGAATGACGCCTCTTCCAGTGAGTCCTCCCAGAACTGCTCCAACAAGGTTCGCATTTTAACAGGAAGAATAAAACAACAGTAGGATTCCAGAACCTTCTGAGTAGTTGGAGGATCTGAAGAAAGGTAGAGAGGGGGTGGGGAAGGTTCCAAAGTCACAGCAAAGACACAGAGACACTGGAAGGCAAGTTGAGAAGTAATCTTAGAAAGGTGAAAATTATAAAATCCAATGTTTCAATAAAAAAATAATTGGGGTTAAAATGGTTATGAAGAGCAAAATGTGTATTTTCTCTAATATGACTTTGCAATAAAGTTAAAGGGTTTGTTGATGAAACACAAATCACAGATAGCCTGTTTATCGGGGGTTTTCTTGGCCTCAAAGTAAATTTTGTGCCTTGGAGTGAGAAATCTGTTGGTAACTGAGCCAACAGATACAAAGTCAAATAACACAGTAAGACAGAAACAACAGTGAAAACTATGACTTCCACAGAAAAGTGACCAAGAATTTTTCTTAATGAGAAAGAAGGAGAGAGAAAAGAAGGGAGGGAAGGAGTGGAGCAACAGGAGGGGCAGGAAGGAAGAGAGGGAAAGGAAGGGTGATGTCGAGAGAAGGAGAGAGAGGGAGAGAGAAATGAAACAGAAACATTAAAAGGTTTAGGAAAAATAACAGGCGAACGATTGTAAAGGAGAAAGTGTCTCACAATTACCAGAGAAGATTACGTCAGATGAAAACCGTGGCCAAGGAAAAAAACAATTAAAACAAATCAGTGACGTTGCACTCCCCGATTCATCACTGATTCTTTGGTTTCTTCCAGGGGTCCCCACAACACTGATGATCTCCTGCACCAAGCAGCAGGGCAGTACCGCAGGACCAGGGTGCTACCTGGGAGCACAACAACCAGAAGGGGCGCCCACCTGCTGTGGAAATGCAAGTGCTATGCTGAGGACCCTGCCTGGAAAGGGCCCAGGGGATGAAGAGCGTTTTTTATTCTTCTCCCTGCTTCGACAACAGGGACAAGACAACAAAAACAGTGAAATGTGGAGAAAAGTATCAGATCTAACAAAACGAATAAGCAAACTATAAGGTCCAAAACTTGCCTTAGAGCCATGAAACGTACAAACACAACACATAGGAAGGACATTGAGAATTGATAAATGCAAGTCTCACACACTTAAAAAAGGTGGAGGAAAATTTCTCCAAAGCAAAGTCAAAAATATCTGACAGGCAGGAGCAATGAGCCTTGGAGAGGGCGACATCACCCATCAGTCGGCATTTCCTGCAGGGACAGTCTGAGGCCACAAAACAGAAGGAGAGGCAGACCTAAGAGCAAACGTGTACTCCTGTTTACTTCTTAAATATGTTACTACTGCATTCTTTCTTCCCGACAGACTTCCAGGGGCAGTGGCACTGATACACCTGCAGAAATCCAAGGAACCAAGGGACTTAACAAAAAAGACACATACACAGACTTTGATTTCTAGTAACTGCTTTGTATCGAAAGCATACAGATTTTACACTTTATGCCAATGGCAATTTTCTTTTGGATGACCACTCTGATAGAAAGCATATGAGTTTTGTAAGTGAAGTCCAAAGAAAGAAATACTAAATGATATATAGAGCGTTTAATTCTGTTATGTAAAAGAATGGAATTTGAGAGATTTGCTAGATGGCTTCAGTCTGAGCACCCGTGTGTTCAGCTTTTCTGCCAATAAGATGCAGGGAGGAGAAGCGGCGTAACTGGGTTATAAAGCTCCTCTGGCCCTGGCACTGTTCTCGAGAGCTAAGCGCCACTTCCCTCAAAGCACACAACTCAGCACATAGAAGATGCGATTCAGTGCCAAACATGCGGAGACTCTGCCCATGACAGACCCAGCAAATATGAATCACAGCCACTGCAAGGATTTAAACAACAACTTTCCAACTCCTCACAATGAACCTTGGACTCCATACGTGTGCTGGCCACGTCATTGGGGCTCCTGTTTTCCCCAGAAATAAGCCAGTAAGAGAAAGGTCTGAATTTGAATTAGATAACACACTCTTGCTAGTCATCACAGTCAGATTTACAAGAAGTTGCTCATGCTTCTGGATATGCACAAGTGGAAATATACCGGGTATTGTGGCTCCTTTAAAGTAACACGGTTTATGTGCAGATACTGGAGAACTAAGACTTGTGAAGGAAAATGAGCTACAGAGGGACTCTAACTGAAACAAAGAAAATCAATGAAACCAGAACAGACTCAAACACTAAGCGGCATTTACTTAAATATTAGCTAATGCTGCAGTGAAGTAAATGAAGAAGTGTGAGTTAATGCACACTTCCTTTCTCAAGTTCAAAAATACGGAAAGAATTAACCCAAGGAGCATACATTTCAAGTTTAGATTGTTTAAGAAACTGATGGATTGGACTATGTTCCATTAAATTCTTAGGTTGAATTCCTAACCCCAGAACCTCAGCATGTGACAATATTAGGAGAATGGGCCTAATACTTTGATTTAGGTAATTTAGGTTAAATGAGACCTCTAGGGGAGCCCTGATCTAATCTGACTAGTCTCCTTACAGACAGACAAATGAACAAAGGATATGGCTATTCAGAAGCCAAAAAGAGAGCAGCCTCAAAATAAACCAGTCCTGCCAACATCTTGATCTCAGACTTCCAGTCTTTCAAGTGTGAAGAAAAGATGTTTGTGACTGGTAGCCCTGGCAGACAAATGCAGAACTCGCAGGCCACAGGTCCAGCTCAGTGGTGAGAGGGCCTGGGTTCAGCCCCCAGCATCACCAAAAGCAAGAAATCTCTTGTAATAATCCCTGCTTTCTTACAAGTGTGAAACAAGACCCATGTTTCTTCTACAGCTCAGTGCACCGTACATCACACTCACCACCCCAACAGGAAAGGCCAGCACGGCTAACATCCAGTCCCGGAGAGAGATGAGCTTCTTGAGCTGCCGTTCTTGCTCTTGATTCCCACTTCCTCGGGTCAAAAGACTGGAAAGATCAGTCAGCACGCAGATGCCAAAGAAGACAGCCTGGATGACCTGGAGGGAGACAGCCACCGGGATAGGTCAGTAAGCACTGAAAAGACTCAACCTGTGAAACAGAGAACACAACACATGGTAAGAAAAGATCAGAAGTCCCTTTTAAGAGTTGGCCTTAAAAGTAGTGAATAATAAAATATTTATACCTTACCATGATATGTGCAAAAATTCTTCTGAAAAACACTACTTCCACCCATCTCCACTCCCCCCAGGAATATGCAAAACATCCACGCAAAGCCACACCTAAAAATCCCAATGGGAAGCAGCATCAATGGCCAAGGCTACAGGGCCACTGCTTTGAAGCATCCCATCTGCCCCCATGCCTTTGACTAACAAGAGTTGCAAGCATCTAAGGAGTGAAAACAAAAGGATGAGGGTAGTCTGAATAATAGAGGAGATAATGCAGCCTAAATTCCAGCAAAGAAAAGTCTTTTATCTCCTAGATTCACACATTTTCCCACTCAAGGAAGTGCTAGAAAGCTGCTCCTGGAGTCATAAAGATGTCAGCTGAGCACAATGATCCAGACTCTGTCATGGAACAACTTTCACAGTTGAACTAAATGACCTCCACCTCAGATTTTTCAGATTTATGAAACAAAATCTCTCCAAAGTAATACAAACATAGATATTTGGGCCATTTCCCAAACAGCTACCAGTGGTATATTCCCAAATCAATTACAAAATGAATCACATCGTTCATGTTTTACTTGAACTATCACAAGGTGAGAACCCTGAAACACTACAACCAATCATTTGTAAAAATTTTAAAGTGAAGATAAAATTATGGATGATTCAGAGCTATGAGTGTAGACGGCAGTATATTCTACTATAGCCAGGCAAGCAATAATCCAAATTATGGAAAAGGCAGACAATTAGATTCCCTGAGGTCAAAGTCTTACCAGTTTAGCATCAAGGATAGACTGGGGGAGGGAGGTTTCTGGCTTCTTCTACTGGATATAATTTACCGATCACTGATTTATGAAAGATTCAATTCACTCATTACCCCTTTACAAAACATTGTTTGTTTTAATTTTCCCTATTGGCAGTGGGAAAAGTCTGGAAAAGCTTTGTGAATGGTTCCTCACTTAGGTACAGAACAGAGGGACAAAAAGTCCTGAAAAGTATCTAGTTCCATCCCTTTCATCAGTACTGGGACACCCATCCTCTTACTCGAGGTTTTTGGAAGCACCCTAAATCCCTGTCTTAATAGCCCAACTCAGCCAGCTCAATGCTCTTATTTCTCTTTAGAACTTAGGTTACCTTTAGCTTTACTGACTTACAGTTTATGGTCATTCTTTCTATAACCAGAAAACCAGAGTAAGAGTAGGTAACAATGTCACTACCGAGAACAACACAGGAGAGGTGTTGGCAAGAGCCAGGTTTTGATAGCTACAAATGACTTAAATGGCTCAGAGAATAATCTCAGACTTAGAAAACTTTCTACATCGTACCTGAAGACTTCACACGACTGAATCTCTGTCAGCCCTACTGGACTGTGAGACCCTGGAGCGACCACTGGGGAATAATAATCTCCATGCCAATAATCTGTATTCCTGTGTGACCAATAATCAGGTAAATATAAATTAAGACCACAATGAGATGGGATTTCTAACCAACTGCAATGATTTACAGTTAAATTCTGTTCATGCCAAGTGCTATAAAGATGTGGAATAAACAGAAAGCTATGGTGGGAAAAGAAATCTGGACAAGCCCTTTGAAGAACCACTGATATTCCCGGTTCATTACAGATGCACATGTTCTCTTTACATAGTGGCTTAAGGATGAAGATGTCCCCTCCCAGCAGAAGCTGTCACACAGGAGTACTGGTCACATCTATTGCAAGGCAATGTCAGCATTCACTGCTTCAAAAATGTTGAAGCAATCTTATATTTCTTGATAGTAGATGAGATAAATGAATTGTGCTGCAGTCACACAATGGAATTCTAATTATATCACTTTTCACTTTCACAACAAAAACTTAAACTAAAAAAGAAACAAAACAACTGCATATTTTGATAGCACTGAAGTAAATTTTTTAAATCATAAAAATTATAAAGGTGAATGTTTATAAATTAAAATATAAAAAGTACATGCAGGTGAATAGTACTGAGTTCAGGTGCCTTCAGAGAGGAAAATGAGATTGGGAAAATATTGCAAGAGCCTCAATTATATTTCAAAATAGAAGAGAAAAACTATGTGGAATGCACTGATTACAATTTCCCGTTTGCACTCACAAGAGTGCACTCACAAGACTCCTACCAGAGTTGCCTTCCCACCATAAACAACCAGAACTTGGTTCTAAACATTTAGAAATTTTTCAGTTTCTGAAACAAACACTTTTGAGGCTGTTAATATTATAGGTTGAGCATCTCTAATCCAAAAATCTGAAATCTGAAATGCTCAAAAATACAAAACATATTGATGTCACACTTAGAAAAATCACACACGACTTCATGTGACAAGTCAAAATCAAAACATAGTTGCACAACACTCAGTCTCTTTGGTTTCTCTCCCTGAGAGGGAAAAGACCCTCCCAGCCCCTTCAGCTACAATATGTAAATTATGTTTTATGTACCAGTTATTAAATATATTATATAAAGTTACCTTTAGGCCATGGACATAAGGTGTACATAAAACAAAAGTGAATTTTTTGTTTAGACTTGAGTCCATTATATATAGACAAATATTCCAAAATCTGAAAAGGCCCAAACACTCCTCTCAAGCAATTTGGATAGGGATATTAAAAATATATTTCCAAATAAGACAGGACTATTTCATACTGATAAAAAGGGCAATTCATCAAGAAGGCATAATAATCTTAATTATATTTGTACCTAAATATCAGACTTTCAAAACAGAAGAAGAAACTGTTTGAATATGAAGACAAATTATCCAACACTTTTTAACGTAAATAATATGAATAATTCTTGGAAAGCAAATACTTTTAAGGAGATTTAAAAGGAATGGATTAGAAATAGGTGGTATTATGGTTCGGATCTAGAATGTCCCCAAAGCTCATGTGTTCAGAGCTGGGGATTTGGGCAGTGACTGGCTCACAAGGTGCCACCGCACTCACAGTTCATAGCTGATGGAGCTGTTAGGGGGTGGGGCATAGATGGAAGTGGCAGGCCACTGGGGGCGTGGCAGGAAGAGGGTACCTCCCTCCCTTGGCTCCTCCTTTTTCTCTCTGCTTCCTGGACACCATGGGTTGAGCACCTCTTACTCTGCCATTACTGTCAGGCCACTCTGAACCAAAATAAACCTCAATTCTTTTAAGTTTTTTTGTGTCAGGTTATTTTGTCCCAGTGATAAGAAAGTAACTAAGACATGAGGAAACTTTAAGATGAAAAAGAAAGAGGAGAAACAAAGTCTCATGTCCTAGGAGAGGAGAAAAACAAAGGAGTTACGTAAATATACATGTAATAGTTTAAACAGCATTTTGCTAACTTTGCATGGTTAATGATATGCACAAATGAAGTCTACTTTCCTACAGTTGAGTTATCATCTTCTTACCCACTGTGTCATCTAACACAGCAGTCCCTTCACAATTACCTAGTGGCTACTCTGTTATCTCTGTAGACCTCTGTTATGGATTGGTCTTAAGTAGACCCTAAAAGCTCATGTATTAAAAGCCTTGATCCCCAGCTGATGGCACTACTGAGAGTATTGGAAGATGGGGCTCAGTTGGAAGACACAGATTATGGAAGATGCATGTCCTTGAAAGGCACATTGAGACTCAGGTCAGACCACTCATATTCAGATTCATTCTATCACGCTCCCTCCCCAACCTCCTTTCCTTCCGGCACCATGAGATAAGAGCTCTGGCAGCCATGTGCTCCCATTACGAACTTCTGCTTTGCCATAGGCCCCAGCAATCAGTCAACCATGGACTGAACCTTGGAAACCAGGAGCCAAAAGAAATCTTCCCTCCTTTAGATTGTTTTACTCAGCAACTTTGTCACAACAACAGAAAGCTAACACCACCTCTCTGCTAGCTTTCCCCTGCTTCAGACTACAGTACGGCCCCTACCTCACAGGAACTGCTGGGGAAGACTTTCCCAAGTGAAGACATGGAGGCTGGGGAAAGGAGGAGCTACAAAATTATCCAGTGTCTCAACATAAGGAGATAGAAAAGGATTCTGAGGGTTGTGTTATCATTTTTTCAACTCACATTATCAGGCTGGGTTATAGCTCAGTGTTAAGAGTGCTCGCTGAGCATGCACAAGAGCCCTGGCTTCATTCCCCAGCACTAAAAAGAAAAAAAAAAGTATTTGTCTTTAATTCACATTACCAAAAGATAACCACTAAAAATTACAAAACAGTTTATCAAACCCTGGAGCATGGATGGACCTTTTGGTTACTTACTTAAGAAGAAGTGTGCCAATATGGTTAAACCAGTATAGATTTCTGTCACTTTGATCAGAGTGTGATTTGAACTGACAGTTAAGAAATTTCATTTGAGACATTTTCCTTGTGTTTTTCTATTAGCTGGACGTATCGCTGTCCGCTGCAATTTAAAACTCACTAACTTTAAAATGTAGAGGGTATGTGGAGATGCACGGGTGGACTGTAAGCAGGACTACTTTAAAGTATTATTTGGCTGCAACCATTCTGCAGAGCTAGCACTTCCAAACCATCAACTCAGCATGACACATATAGTCACCATCTGGCTCTGAGTTCTCAGCAGGTCGGTTGCTCTTATTATGTTCTACCCCATGTAGAAATGAAGTGGTCAAACCTATCAGTTTATTCCAAGAAATAAAAATAGAATTGGTCAGAATGAAGTAAAAATTCTCAAGGTATTTTTGAGTCACTTAGTGCTTCCTCCTCTAGAAAGCTCTCCACAGTTCAATAAGCTCTGCATCTTTCTTTCTACCTCCTCAACTCTTTCTGTTTGGAAATCGTGGATTATTTACTGAATCGTTTTAGATTTAACATTCATTTGCACAAGTATTTAAATTCCATTCATTTTTTTATCCCCTATTTTACACATGGTTGGT